AAAAAAAAAAAAAATGAAAGAAAAATACTGTTCTTAACATAGCAACGGTTAGGATGATTTTGCGCAAAAACTAGAGGTTGTAATTTGTAAAGAGAGAGATCTCTTCAAGTGTGTTTCGTGCTTTAAGAATGCTAGAATGAACAAAGCTAGAAGGGAAGGACTCTACTTAGCTCATTTTCTTAGTTTTTTCTGCATAGTGCAGCAATTTTTGCAATGTGTGGTTAGGACATACTGTTAGGTCGGTGTAAGGAGCGTTCTACGAGGATGAGGTCCAGATTCTCAAATGATCCCTTCAATTTTCAGGGGTAATGGTTGCTAGATTTTAAGTAGATCCTTGGACATGGGTGCCATTTTTTGACCCCTTACCCATACCAAAAATAAATAAATAAGCCCCCTACCATTTTATACTTTTATTTGAGTGGGGCAAATACAGATTTCTTTTACTTCTTCATCTTCTTCTGTTCATTACTGATTGCCAAACGGCCATCGACAATCACACGCATAAAGTTTTCTTCTACTTCTTCATCTTCTTCTATTCTTCTTATATTTATATTCATATTTATGTTATACAAATTAAAACAGATAGGTGCAATTCGTAAAAATTAATTTTGATTATATAAAAGTTAACACACGTACCCTTACGCTACGCTATTAAAATATAACATATATTTTATCCATATCACATGACATAATATGTGATTAGTGATATAGGCCCAAAGTCCGACCCGGACAATGAAACAGATTCGGATACATCGAATTCAAAATCCAAAAACTTTACATCCGGTAGGGTTTTGGACATTAAAGGGGGGTACGAATTGGAAGAGCGGTTCCACTTAAAAACCTTGGCATGCACATGGATGTATGAATTCAATGGCGGGTGCGGGTGCGGGTCCATGTGCATGTCCATCCATATCCATATCCATATCCAAACCTGATCTGAAGAGTGAAGCGTGAAGACACCTACCTCATAATAACATCCGGCAAGGGCACCCCACCCAGTCTCACTGCTCTTCTCTGCTTTGCACTATTCTCAGCTCAGCTCACTAAATCCTTAATCAGTAATCTCCAGGCTCGCGCGTGTGTTCCTCTGAAATTGCATGAGATGAGACGGTTTTCACTTTTCTGCCGCATGTACGCGTCGTGAGGGCTCATCTTGACATCTTGTAAGCCTATATATTAATCTCACCTCTGTAACTCTCCCTCTCCTATTTGTTGACATTCCATTCCCATGGAAGGAAGAAAAACCGGATTTCAAAAGATTGCCTCGAGTCACGAACCCTAATCTCTGTTCACTCTCTCTCTCTCACCGTCTCTCGGTCTCGCAGAGTCGCAGTTTACATGCGCGCGTTTCCGATGTAGATTGTTCTTCCTCGTGCGACCAAATATTCTAAAAAGTCTCGAAATCTTAAATCCGTTTTGATCAAAATCAAAATCTTCTTGGATAAATTTCGATTTTAAATCTTTTCAGCTCGAACTAACTTCTCCGGTTATCGACGTTTGTTTTGAGGTTGCGACTTTCGAGCGAAGCTAGCCAGCACAACATTCCGATATACAACCTGTTTTATCCACTGTCCACGCAGTAAAACCAAATGCAACTTTCCCATCTCGGTGCTAGTCTCTGAGCCCTCTGCCCCTGGTCATCGACTCATCGTCTCTAGCTAGCTGCACGGAGCTTCTCGGTTTCCAAGGATGTTTGGGTTTTCGAAGACAGGAGTCTTATTAAGCAGTTGTGCTTTTACTGCGTTGGTTCGGTTTTAGGAAAGCGCGTTAGCCGAAGCAGACCTCACATTCACTACATTTACGAAAGGGTTTAAAAAGGTTTTCGAAGCTTTTCCTGTTTCCATCTTCTAATTGTTTAAAACGGTCCGGTCTTTCTCTCTTCTTCTGCAGAAAGATTTCCTTTCTGCTGCTTCTTTACAAACTGTTCTAGTTTCAGGCACATGCGGTTTGATCTGATTTCTTTCACTTTTTTGTGAGTGTAAAAAGCTCAGCTCGTCATTTGAGGTTTTTAAGTCAAATCTTCTGGATTTGTTTTCTCTTTCCTTAATATTTTATTTTCGTCTTTGTTTATTAATCGGCGGTAGTTGTTTTCTTTGACTGATTTGTTGAGTAGACAAGTTCAAGTTGGCTTATGTACTCTTTCGTTCGGCGCAGATTTCCGTCTGAACTGTGAATGCTTAATTTGCATGTCATGCCATTCTTCTCTCTATTCGATTCGCCCTGTAGCTAGGCTAGAGTCTTCTCCGTCGGTCTTTTCGGCCATTCTGCAAACGACATTCATCAGAAACTCTAGCTCCGCCTTTCATATTCTTTTGGTTACATTAACTCGGCCTTTCAATAACTTCTGGATCATTCCATCCGATACACCAGTCTGATTCAGTTACTATTTCTTCTGGAGATCTCACTTGCATAGGCGTTGCACCGGAGAGCGGAGAATTCAAGTTTCCAACGATGAAGACTTCACCGTCAATTCGGCGAGTCGCCCTCGTTGTAGCTGCAGTCATGGTCGGCTTTCTACTCATCCTTTATACAGGTCTGTGGACTGTACTAAATCGAATCAGACGCCCTTACTCAAACCACTTTCTCCATCTTCTTTGATTGCCTAACCTCTCGCCCTTTTATTTTTTATTATTTCCCGATGAATTCCTTTCATTTTATCGTGGCGTGTTTTTCTTCGATTATTCCATTGCTGATTAAAGTCGCACCGCGCAGGTTTGCAAGACGAGCAGCGCAGCTCAACCATATTTGAACGAAACATTAGCTTCTCTGCTCAGCCTCCACACCGCAAGCTTCTTCACCAGCGTAAGAATTAAAATAGTTTCTGCCTGTTAATATTTTCCTGTATAATCGAACAGAATTAGGGTTCGAGCGTGCCTTGCTTCTCGCCTGTGCCTATTGATTCTGAGAGACTGAGCTGGTGAGGGGGAGAAATCAGATACAGACAGACAATTGTTCGTATATATGTCCCTTTTCCAGGGAGCTGTTTCTTGGATGACCAGATACGGGCACCGTTTAGTCCGGGACTCCTGGCTCGTTAGACGAATTCTAGAATGGGACCACCCAACCCCCTCACCCAAAAGCTCAGCAAGCGGCCAAGCGCACGTTACCCGACCCAGAAAAGCAAAAAAATGGTGGGCTATGCTCAAATGATCCTTCTGTCTTTAACCCGTCAACCGACTCAGAAAAGGAAAAAGGAATAATATTTGTCTCAAGACCTACTAGTCTGTTGGTCTTTATCCCTGAAGGTGATTTTCTTGATTCAGAAATTTTCATTTTGTTTGCATCTGGGGTCTGGTTGTGTTGCAGCAGAAGCATTGATTGAGCCCAACCGAATATGGGGAGAGAAGTGTTCCAAGTCTGACATAGTGGTGAGCCAGGGGCCCACGGCTCCTCTGCCAAATGGGATCCCAACCTACACGGTGGAGGTCATGAACGTGTGCGTGACAGGGTGCAACATCTCCGGCATCCACCTGAACTGCGGCTGGTTCAGTTCGGCTCGCTTGATCAACCCCCATGTATTCAAGCGCCTCCGTTATAACGACTGCCTCGTCAACGACGGCAAGCCCCTTGCGAACGGCGCCACCCTATCATTCCAGTATGCTAACACCTTCCTTTACCCACTCGCGGTCTCATCCATCGTCTGCTGAAGTCGGTGATATCGATTAATAAGAGACAGGACTCTGCAAGAGGACAAACGATAATATAAAGCGAAAGCACGGACTAGGTGTGTGGATTTTTTGCTTTTGCTTTATAATTTTGTTTGTTTCCCTTTTCTTTCTTTTCTATTTTCTGTGGATAGGGGGTTTCTTTCATTAATGTTGTATAGCGAGTCTCACAAGATTTTTTTGGTATTAACGGAGTTTTTGTTTTGTTATGTTATGTTGTCTCTCTTCCGCCATTAACGAGGGACTGAGAGAGATGTGCAAATTTGCTGCACATTAGAATTTAGAATAGGGATAGGTTGTTACACCACTACGCGTACGGATACGAAAGAACAAAGCGTGGGGACCATGGGGACTGGGGAGAACGTTTTTATTCTTTTGTGGAGGTTTTTTGTTGTGTATACAGTATACTCTTAGCATGTGGATTGCGTGGGTGGAGAAAGTGGAATGTTGATTTATTAGAGAGAAGATAAGTGTTAAAGTAACCACTGACCGGTGGGGGATCGATTCTTCTCATCATAAATGTGTTACAGGGAAATTCTTCTGGTCTAAATTCTGTGAATCCGATTGTATGAGGATCTTTTATTGTTTTTTTGGTATTTAGGGTTTTTATTGTTTGTTTGTTATGTGGCGATTGCCAGCTTAGCTCTGGCTATTCATTCCCCATTTTCTTCTCTTTAAACTCTGTGAGCGTGACTGATAAAACAGAGAGTCTGCGGGCGAGGGAGAGAAGTGTGTTACACTGTCACCACCCAATCCATTTTCAGTCTTGTTGATTAGACGTCATTACCCGGAGGCTTAAATATCCTTGTGCATTTACCGAGGCACCTTTGAGGCTTTGACTACTGATTGATCGAATAATTTTTACGCACTAATTTTCAATTTTTATCTATTAAATTCCTCCAACACCTAACTAGTTCGTATAACCCCATGAAAAAAAAAAATTAGTTCGTATAATCTTTTGATGGAACATAATAAGTCTGTGTTTGCAATATAAATATTTTTCCGTATAGTGTTACGTGCATGATTAGGACGTTAGCCGTAAAACTGAACGTGTGCAATAAATGGACAGTGAGGGCTGACTGACGAATATCGTCCATTGCCTTTCCACTTTTCGGTTCCTTCGTTTTTAGCAATCAACTGTCTTTTGATTGGTCTTCGCTCGGTCCCCCCCCCCCCTCTCTCTCACTCTCTCTCTCTCTAAGTCACTAGTCACATTGGTTCACTCCTCCAACCTACTGTCGTGCTCTAATGTCCCCTTGTTTTCGTCTCTAAATCACGACTCTGCCCTCGATGCGCATTCGAAGTTCTCATGTTCCAACCCACCCGCCCTACCATCATGCATTATTTAAACAGATATAGATCCTCTTATGTTAAAAATAAATAAATTCTTGCATGAGACAATTGCTACCATTCATTCGTTCCAATATGGCTGCAGACTGAAGGCCTTGGTCATCAGATAATGGTTAGCCCTTGTTTATATATTTGTAAAAACCGCAGCGGCTGTACAGCGGATACTACCACTTGTGATTGAGAACATTATACATTGATAGGATATGAGCTTTACCAATCGAAGAGATTTGCTTTGTCACTTTTTTCGGTAGACAACCAAAGAGAAAGAGGATTTGCTAGAGCAGAGCAGCCTAGTGCGTGACCTGGAATTAAAGAAACAGGTAGGTCCGGCGGGTTACTTCGGGATGTCGAGTAAAGGCGATTCATGGTTCAGACAACCTTTTCCCTTCCCGTCCAAAACCAAAAGTAGTTTACAGAAGTGTCGGTTCACTACTGTTTAGCCAAGCCACCAATTCAATAAAATATTACATTAATTTAAATCACTGCCTTTGCCTACACAGTGGCCAATTAAAATCCTCGTTCAGAAATCGACAGTTTTGAATTTTCGTCGCAATTTTAGAAAGTATGGATGCAAGTCGGATGGGATTGGGTCGCTTTTCGGTCAGCCTAGAGGTATAATGTGCACGGCCCCCACTTATGCAGGCCTTGCAGTACTGTGGCCTGTGGGTTGGCACGATTTTAATAAATTATAAAAAAAAATTAATATAAATTAATAAGATATATAAGAAATTAAAGAAAATCTTAAAATTTTATTTTATATAAGTTTTGATGTATATAATTGTTTATATATGATATAATAAAATAAATTTTGAAAAATTACAATTGTTTCTACACGAGAATCACCATTCCTATGTGTAAGTAGTCCCTCTAAGCATGACTAATGGGAGTGGTTTTTTGAATTTGTTTTATTTTATTTTTATGGGTAAATTGCTGAAACTTTCCATGCAGTTTGGTAATTGCAATCACCTCCCCTAAACTTTTTGATAAAGTTGCAAATAGATCACTTATGACAAAATCCTCTAACAAGAGGCACAAAAATGTCCAAAATACCAATGCAATTTTTATTGAGGCCGGTTTTTGCAGAAAAAATAATTAAAACTTTATAAACAACAAAAAGATAGAGAATTTAATGGAGGGCAAATTTGAAAAAAAAAATCAATTTTAGAAAAAGAGATTGGAAGGGTTTGGAGTAGCATTATTATGAAGAGAATATTTGGAAAAAAAAACATTTTGGTCAAAAGTAATTGTATGGGTATTTTAGACATTTTCATGCCTCTTTTTAGAGGATTCTAAGAAGGGGATCTACTTTCAACTATGTTAGAAAGTTGAGTGATTGCAATTACCAAACTTCAGGTCATGTTTCATCAACAGTCAAAAGCATTAAGAGAGGTTTCAACAATTTACCCTATTTCTATTTACTAGCAATTTGGCGAGAAAATTTTCTTGATATTATTTGAATTTTAGATTTATCATAGTTAAAATAGAAATTGAAAATTAACAAAAGTAACAATATGATTAAAAATAAACTTAAATGCTTGTAGTAAATTTGTACATACATTGCAGGTGAATATTTTAAATTACAATATTTATTATTATTATTATTATTATTATTATTATTATTATTATTATTATTATTATTATTATTATTATTATTAAATTTTGTTTTTCAATGCTATCATAAATAAAAATAATTTTTACTTTAACAAGCATTTTTATTTAATATGATGGATATATAACATTAGAAATGTTCCAAAATGTTTGTGACAAATTTCTGCACTTTTTATTTTTTGTGTTCTATCTTTTTTTAATATTTATTATTCAATTATGACATCATGAGTTTCTTTGAAAAGTTGGATCGTTGTCCCACCATCTGGATAAGAAAATAGATTAATTTGCTTTGGGATTAGTTTTAAATTACATGTTTCATCTACATTATATAAATAATTTTTACTTATTATACTTAGTTTTTGTTTGACATAATTAATTGTTTTTTTTGTATCATATATTTTATTTATTTTAATTTTTATTATTTAATTATGGCATTATTTATTAACCAATTTGACCCTAAATGGTTAAATTGCTTACCCACCACCTGGAGGGAAGAAAATGGTTTAATTTTCAAACTATTTTTCAAAATATTTATTTTTATACTATTAAATTTAATATTGTAGACTTAATTAATAAAATTTAATGATAAGAAAAATATATCTTAAATATAAAATTTAATGAAAGGATATACCTTAGGTATTAGATTTAATGGGAATGGGAAAATAGTTTTATTTCCAATTGGTAACATTGATTGGCCCATTATTTAATGGGAATGGGAAAATACATCTACATTTCTTATTTAACATACTTTTTATTGTTTAATATGTCAAATGTATGATTTTAAAAACAGTTCCTTTTTTTAATTTCTATATTTTTTGCATTTTATCTATTTTTGAATTTTATTATTTAATTGTGGTAACATAGCCCATTAGACCCAAAATGGTTTAATTTCTTACCACCACCTAGATGAAAACACTATTTTTTCTAGGTAGATTTTAAAAGTATAAGTTTTTTATGTTATTGGAATTATTAATTTATTATATATGGATTTAATTATGAGAAGAAACGAAAATGTCTTAAATATATGATTCAGTGAAGATGAATGCAAGTTAATACGTTAAATTGAGATTTAAAGAGAGATTTAAATGCATTGATTATCTTAAAATTACTTATTTTCAACTCATTTAATATCAATAATCGATTACCCTATTTGCCCTCATTTTTTATCAATAAATTTAAATATTAAAGAATAAATTTTGTCCTTAAAAAATTACAAAAATATTCTTGAGATACTTTTTAAATAGTAGAGATCTATTTATTGTCATAACCCTCTTCTCCCCTTTCTCCTCTATTTCCACCTTCTAGTTCTTCATGCCGGTCACCTTCAGTAACTCCACTAACAGGGGAGCAGAGGTTAGAGGCGGGAGAGAGAGGGGAGAGGAACGGCACAAAGAGAAAAGTTAAAAAAGCAAGAAAAAAAAAAACAAACAAACATTCAAGCCATTCCCATCAAAAGCGATTTACACGTGGTTATAGTCATCTCATGTAAAACTATTGTGGACTCTTGTAATTGGTACCACACCCCGCTCAACAGCTACGGGTGTTCAGCTAACCCAAATTCGTATCCCAGATGATCACTTGGCATCCCGCTTTAGGGCTCTCCCTTGTAAGGTCAGCGGACCTTATACGCACCCTGTTTTCATCATCCCTTAATTTCGAGTAATGTGTAATATCTAATATCAATGCATATATATATAACATAAATAAATGTCCATTCGGGTTGGTCATCACTTGTCTACTCTGAGCCCACTCTAATGAAAAAAAAGCAATCAACTGCACAGAAATTGCCTCATAGAAGAAGTACAATTTGTATATTTGGAATGGTGATAGGTCGGAGAATGAATGGGGGTAGCGAATCATATGTGGAGGCGTTGATAAATAAAACTAAAAAATAATAAAAGTCTTTGTGGTGGATCTAAATCTCTCAAATAAAACTATATCCCAGAAGGGCTTTAAAGCCTTTTTCTTAAAGCCTTCTTCATCCTAAGTCTAGATTGCCAGAGCTAATCCCAACTTAATTTTGGGCCCGTATTTAGACCTAGACTTGAACCTTTCTTACATTAGCCATGAGCTCTACTGGATTTAGGGCTGTCAATGGAGTCTAAAGGTTTATATCCAGTTCGACTTCAAATTCAATTCCCCAAATATAGATGTTAGAACTTGTATTTGATTAATAATTAGATCGGATGTGGATTTATTATATATATATATATATTCAAAATAATTAGATTTTTAAATTCTCTAATTTTTTTGATCATTTTAAATATAATAAAATGATTTCAGATTAAATCTGAATTCGGTGCAAAATCAAAATGATAATGTGAA